CTAGATAGCATATTAAAAAGCAGAGACATTACTTTGCCAACAAAGGTTCATCTGGTCAAGGCTATGGTTTTTCCAGTGGTCATGTATGGATGTGAGAGTTGGACTGTGAAGAAAGCTGAGTGTTGAAAAATTGATGCTTTTGAACTATGGTTTTGGAGAAGACTCTTGAGAGTCCCTTGGACTGCAAGGAGATCCAACAAGTCCATCCTAGAGGAGATCAGTCCTGAGTGTTCATTGGAAGGACTGATGCTGAGGCTGAAACTCCAGTACTTTGGTCACCTCATGCAAAGAGTGACTCATTGGAAAAGACCCTGGTGCTTGGAGGGATTGGGGGCAGGAGGAGAAGGGGGTGACAGAGGATGAGATGGCTGGATGGCATCACCGACTCAATGGGCATGAGTTTAGGTAAACTCCAGGAGTTTGTGATGGACAGGGCGGCCTGGCGTGCTGCGATTCAAGGGGTTGCAAAGAGTCGGACACGACTGAACGACCGAACTGAACTGAAATGAACTGATATGCATTCCCTAGGACAGCAACGAGATCAAACCAGTCAATCTAAAGGAAATCAACCCTGAATATTCATTGGAAGGACTAATGCTGAAGCTGAACCTCCAGTACTTTGGCCACCTGATGTGAAGAGCTGACTCATTGGAAAAGACCCTGATGCTGGGAAAGATTGAGGGAAGGAGAAGGAGGGGATGAAAGAGGACAAGATGGCTGGATGGCATCAATGACTCAATGAACATGAGTTTGAGCAAACTCTGGGAGATAGTGAAGGACAGGGAAGCCTCACATGCTGCAGTCCATGGGGTTGCAAAGAGTCAGACATGACTGGCTGAATAAGAACAACAAAATGCTCAACAAGTGCTAGTTTTAGTTATGATTACTTTTATTAGATTATAAGCTTCTTGAAATTAGGAACCATGTGCCAAATGTTATTAAACAGTGAATACCTAATACAAATATATTTTTTATTATTCATTTATATGACAGTTATATTTAGTGATAAGAATTCCAGAAAATGAAACACACTGGAATTAAGATTACTAGATTTGATTCTATTTTATGTTCCACTTCTTTATTTCCCCCAAGTTGGTGGGTTTTTTTATTTCTTCCTCTTAATCTGACAATTTCTTCTTTTTGAAAAATAGTAATCATCTCTAAACTTTTGTCTTTTCTCACTGCAGGGTGATTCACATTCAAATTCCACCTATATTTTTAAGTGTCAGCTGCGACAGGCTCTGTGCTAGGTACTTGAGCATACTTAGATATTATCTCCATTTCATAGAGAAGAAAACCAAGGCTTAGAGAGTTCAACTGAATGGCCCAAGATCATACAATTAATGGGCTTCCCTGGTGGCTCAGATGGTATAGAATCTGCCTGTAATGCAGAGACCTGGGTTCAATCCCTGGGTTGAGAAGATCCCCTAGAGAAGAGAATGGCAACCTACTCTGGTATTCTTGCCTGGAGAATTCCATGGGGTCACAAGGAGTTGGACATGACTGAGCAACTAACACATACTAGCTCAAGAATGACCAATTAGACTTAACCATAAACCACTGAAAAGAACTTTAGGAGGAAAATGACTAAGTAGTTTGATGTACAGAGAGATAGAAATGTCTCCTTCAAAAAGAGGTGAGGAGGAGAGTCAGGGTATTCTTTGTGAAGATGAAATTACTCTAGGAGGTGGCCAGTCACTCCATGGACAATTGAGAGCTGACTAATCTGGAAAAAAACTTTTCCCTTTCACTCCTTTCATTTTATATATATATTTAAACATATAAAAAATAAATACATATTTTATTAATTATATATATGTGTGTATATATGTGCATGTTTATGGTATATAAATGAAAGTAGATAGATTGTCATTATTTGGAAGATAACGTGGTAGGCATGGGAGAAAAGCATTTTATTTGATGATATGTGGACCATAAGTACTGGAGAAGGAAATGGCAACCCCTTCCAGTATTCTTGCCTGTAAAATCCCATGGACAGATGAGCCTGGTGGTCTATAGTCCATAGGGTCTCAAAGAACTGGACATGACTGAGTGACTAAAATGATGATGGACAATAAGTAAATTCACAGGTTTTTAATATATGAAGAATGAATTTAGTAGAAGAAGACCCCTTATCAGTGTTGAAAATGATAGCACATATGTCCTTTCACCAAGTTTAGTTACAATTCTCATAATATAAAACTAATCCTTGAAATGCTCGGTAAATGTGCTGATTCTGGGTACAGATGAATCCACCACTTCTGAAGGCTTGGTATGGACTCCGATTTAGGTCTCCAATACATGTCCAGCGATTTTTGGTGCCCTTGTGGGAAATACACCATTTGGCATGATCCTGATAAGAGCTGAAATAAGAGTGTCTAGATATCTTAATTGCTCTGATATTGTAGACATGGTGAGGAAGGGAGCAGTTTGAAGGAAGCTCTTGTCTCTTTCGCTGCCAGGTTTCTGTTAGCAAGTGTGTCTTCAACTGTTGAGCCATCCAGGCTGCAAATATGTCTAGAGTTTATAAAGAGAAAGATAGTGAGGTTAATATTTATTCTTAGATAAATCCTAAAAATATCCTCAGGAAGAGAATCATCACTCATGCCTGATATGTGGATGTCACAAGCATAATAAAAACAACATGATTGAGAGGGTGAATGGGAGAACATTTTGTAAATGCTAAAGTGATATGAAAATAAAAGTTATTATCATTATTACTAAGATGATATTGGTGCTGAAAATGTCTTCTGTTCTGCACAAACAAGGGAGCGATATATGTTTTTGTCCTGAAAAGACCTTTGGAAAGACTAAGGCTGGAGAAGTAATCAGAGGCCAGCATCTAGAAATCTTTATAAGCCATGCCAGAGTGTATGAATTTTCCTGAAATCAGTGGGAAATTTTTTAATACTGTATTTTATTTATGTATTCTAAATTAGTTAATTTTATTTATTTATTTCTGTTGCTCTGGATCTTCATTGCTGCATGCGGGCTTTCTCTAACTGTGGAGAGCAGGGGTTACTCGCTAGTCGCAGTGCATAGGGCTTCTCATTGCAGTGGCTTTTGTTGCGGAGCACAGGCTCTAGGCTCATGGGCTCAGTAGTTGCAGCTTGCTGGCTCCTAGGCATGCAGGCTTCAGCAGCCTTGGCTCATGGGCTCTAGAGTGAGGGTTCAGTAGTCGTGGTGTAGGGGCTTAGTTGCTCTGAGGCAGGTAGAATCTTCCTAGTTCAGGGACTGAACCCATGTCCCTTGCATTGATAGGCAGATTCTTAGCCACTGTACCACCAGGGAAGTCCTCAACAGAGAATTTTTTAAGGAGTGTTAGTGGAGGAATTAATAGAAACTGATTTATGATCATAAATATCAACTGAGAAACCATGTGCAGGATGAATGAGAAGACTACATTAGATTGGAGAGAGGAAAAACACGAGGTTGTCATAATAACTGTGATAACAAGCACAAATGTAGACTATGGCCATGGCAGAGAGATAAATGTGAGAGTTATTAAGGACCTGAAACTGATTGTATTTGATGATTTGATATGGGGGGCAGTGAGAAAAAAGAGGGATTGAGAGTTTCCAGGTGACAATGCAACAAAAGTCTGTCTGGTCAAGGCTATGGTTTTTCCAGTGGTCATGTATGGATGTGAGAGTTGGACTGTGAAGAAAGCTGAGCACCGAAAAATTTACTTTGCCACCAAAGGTCCATCTGGTCAAGGCTATGGTTTTTCCAGTGGTCATGTATGGATGTGAGAGTTGGACTGTGAAGAAAGCTGAGCACCGAAAAATTGATGCTTTTGAACTATGGTGTTGGAGAAGACTCGAGAGTCCCTTGGACTGCAAGGAGATCCAACCAGTCCATCCTGAGGGAGATCAGTCCTGGGTGTTCATTGGAAGGACTGATGCTGAAGCTGAAACTCCAGTACTTTGGTCACCTCATGCAAAGAGTTGACTCACTGGAAAAGACCCTGATGCTTGGAGGGATTGGGGGCAGGAGGAGAAGGGGGTGACAGAGGATGAGATGGCTGGATGGCATCACCGACTCGATGGGCATGAGTTTGGGTAAACTCCGGGAGTTGGTGATGGACAGGGAGGCCTGGAGTGCTGCAATTCATGGGGAGAGTCGGACACAGCTGAGTGACTGAACTGAACTGAACTGATGCAGAATGAGAAAAGGGGTAAGATATGTGAGGGATAATGATGAGATGAGTTTGACATGTTGAATTTTATGTGGCTCTGCCACTCACTGTTGAATACATCTGTCAGAACACAGGCCTTGGATGAAGATCTAGATTTGGGAATCTCTCAAGGGCTAGCTCGGAGAAGGCAATGGCACCCCACTCCGGTACTCTTGCCTGGAGAATCCCATGGATGGAGGAGCCTGGTGGGCTGCAGTCCATGGGGTCGCTAAGAGTCGGACACGACTGAGCGACTTCACTTTCACTTTTCACTTTCATGCACCGGAGAAGGAAATGGCAACCCACTCCAGTGTTCTTGCCTGGAGAATCCCAGGGACAGAGGAGCCTGTTGGACTGCTGTCTATGGGGTCACACAGAGTCGGACACGACTGAAGCGACTTAGCAGCAGCAGCAAGAGCTGGCTAGAATTGCCTCAAATGCATTGTAGATGAGATAAGGATCAGTAGAGGACCACAGGGCAACCTAGTCACATAAGGATTATGCAGAGGAAGAGGGCATGGCAGAAGAGACTTAAAATCAGGAGGAAGACCAAAAGACTGTATACTGCCAAGACTCAGGGAGGGAAAAGTTCCAGAAAGGAAAGTGTTCCAACTGTGCCAAATTCTGCAGAAGCTATTTCTGTCCTGTTAATTAGGGGATCTCTAATGCCTACCACAGGACTTGACAAGTAGTAGGCATTCAATAAAGTTTATTCATTAAAGGAAGGAAGTAGGGATGGAAGACTGAGGTCAGTTAAGGCCGTCATGGGTGTCTGGGGATGGATACAGAGAAGCAAGACTGCAGTCAAGGAGCAGTAAGCAAGTAAAGATCCTGAAGAGTTTCCTCAAAATAAATTTAGAAGAAAAGAAAAAAAAAACAGAGATATAGGGGATCTAGAATTGAGGGAGGATTTTTTAGGAATGTTCGGGGCTCGCAGAATAGATAGGCTAAAGTACAAGAGGGAGAACAGATCGAATGTAAGAATCCATGTATTCGGAGCCTGATTAGTTTCTAGGGCACAGGGGTGCACTGCTTCTGTTGGGAAGGGAGGAATCTGGTAAAAAGGAATGAAAGTAGAAATGATTGTTGAGGGTGGAGTCTGCTCTTGAAGTGGTTTCTACCTCTATTCGCTCTGTGAAGGAAAGTGAAGATGAGTGAAGAGACAGGGAAAGGGAAAGGATTTCAGAGTAAGGAAGGCTCAAAATAATTGCTTAGGGAGTGTAAGAAAAGGAAAACAGCTTGGTTCTGTGCCCAACTGAGGCTGGAGACTGAGTTTTTACTGGCCTCTAGTTAGATGGTTGTGAGATACTTTTTTTGGATGGATCAGCGATCCTTCTATTCAAGTGGCTATTGTTTGAATTGATCCTTGATCTCCCTTTTCCCTTTCCCTTTTTGTCTTCCCTCCTTTTCTACTTCTACACTCCTAAATAATCAGTATATTTGCTCTTTGCATTCCAAAGTGAGTCCAACAGCACGGTTACAACATATTGTTTTGATGATGGTCTTTCTTACCGTCAAGAAAAGAATCAGACTTTGCAAAATTGAGGAATTTTTGTCCCTGGGCTGACTGAAGTGTGGCCAGGTGCTGGCCTGGGATCTTTGAGGAGCTGGATCCAGCACACAGCTGGGGCATGTGGATGAGTTCCATGTGAAAGGTTACAGGGATGGAGCAGCTGTAAATATTTGGGTTGTAGACCAAGAGCTGAGAGTCTGAACCGCAAACAGTAAAGAAAAGTTGAGAATTGAGATACAAACAGAAATGCTTATTGGTACTTTAGATCTTGTTGTGAATTAAAAAAACTGAACAGAATGAAAAACAAAAATGAAAGTATTTCCTTCTTTAAGCCAATAGCCTTTAAACTTTTAATTAAAATAGTTGACACCTGTTGAGCCCTCCCTACTTTTTACTACATTGGTTTACTGATTTAATCATAAGAATATTACCTTTATTATTGGGTAAGTTATTTTATCACAATTCTCATTTTATAGATAAATTAATGGAGAATTTATGCCCAAAGCTATAAAACTTGTAACTGAAGGAGTTGATATTCAAGCCCAGGCAGGCTGGCCTTGGAGACCATGTGTTTTTTCCCCTATGTGTGAACATACAAAAGTAGAAAACACCCATATACTGATCATCCAGCTCCAAGAATGACCAGTTCATCACTGTGCACACCCAGTCTCTATGCTATTAAACTCTCTAATCTTTGCAGAAGCTCAACTAGCTAGACTAGGGCTTAATTTGGGTAAGAGGCTCAGTGATCCTTTCCATCAGATGGAAATTTGATTAAAAAAATATTTGAAACGTCCTATATTAGAACAAATCACTCTTTACTTTTAGCAGCTCCCTCAGTAAAAAGTGATTGGTAAAATATCATTACTACTTCTCCTCCTCATTTGTACTTTGGATTTTTCAAGTCCAAGTATTTTTGGCCACTTGAGCTTGAGATCTTAAGGGAAAATCATCTGGTTTAGGCTCAGAAGTGTCATGTTGGTGGCCTGTAAGCAACATGAGGTCTGCACAATTTAAAAAATAAGATGGAGACCATATCAGAAAATCAGAATATCTCTTTCTCTCTCAATTTCTCTTTCTCTCTCTATTTTCTACTTTACATCTTCCCCTAGATTTCTGCTTCCTCTGGAAAATATGGAGATGTAGGTCTTCATTCTCATGGAGCCACAACATAATGGAGTTGCAGCTTTCAAGGAAAGCTAGTGGAGAGTCAATACCCCATTTTGTCAAATTCCCCACTGCCCATGTGATGTCCACTGGTGTCACCCAGTTTTGTCACCTGCCTGGGCCCTGTAGACATTTGAAACTACCACTTCTGATCAAGTTCAAAGACTTCCTTGGACCAGGAAACCAAGGTTCAGTAAGTGAGCCTGCCCAAGATCTCATCATGACAAAGCCAATATTAGAATCCAGGTATCAGGGTTTATGAATAGAGAAGCAAATGAAGTGATACGTTTATTCATAATTTCCGAATCCCTTCTTAAATATTATGTCTTTTTTTTATGTCTAATGTTACCTATTGCTTCATACTGGTTGTACTTGAAAGTTATGCAGATGCCAGTTTGTCCATTTCGTCTCCCTGTGGGTGGATAATCATAGCCTTCTTCAGGAACTGGAGGAAAATGGGGAATGGAATGAATCAACCAGAACCCCTGGACTCTGTTCCACAGAAGTACACCTACCAAAGATAAAGTTAATACAGATAAATTAGAAAAATAAGCCTCCTTAAAAAAAAAAACACAGAGTTCAAAGCTACAACATTTAAGCCCTTTAAACTTCAGGCTAATGTTTCCTTAGGCTAATAATGACAAGGATCATGTTCTTTTTCAAAGATGTCAAAACCAGTTCAGGTACACATCACATTGCCCCATTACTGATGATAACCCAACACAAAAGGGAGCTAGCGCAGACACCCTGTGAAGAGCTAAGAGGCATTTCATGTTGAAACTACAAGGAAAATTTGTTTTGGCAGAATGCAAATTTGCTAAATTGGAGTTTGACCTCGTTAGACGATATAGTCACCTGGCAAGCTTCAGATGTCTTTACTGCTAAGCAGCTAAGCTATTTTCAAAACCCAGCTGAAAAACATAGTTGAAAGAGAAAATATCAAATGAAAAATTGTATTTGCAGTAATTTGTTGTGAGAAACTGATGCTCATTTATGTGCAGAGGTCACCCAAGTTTACAAGTTTGAAAAAAAAGAAGCAGAAAAGGGATGGGGGTGGGGATGAAGGAAGCCATGTTCTAAAGCATCCTAGTTACTTGTATTTTGTAAATCTCTGGAGCAGATAGTATGAAAGCCAGAAAGGAAGAAAACTGAAAGATTTTCATCATCTTGTGACATGGCACAAAGAACCCTGTCCAACAGGCACCTATGACTATTTCTATGTTTATAAATATGTCAGGATAATTTGGGTATGCTAACTTGGCTTTCTAGTTTGCACATGACCATGCAGACATAAAAGTCATACTTGCCTTAGTGTTAGAGTAGAAACCAAATGCCTGCCAGTTATTTCTTTTTCAAAGGACACACTTTAAGAAAGCACACTGTTGCTGTCTCAGTGACTGTGGAATCAATACCTGCGTCGAGATGGAAAATGTTCAAAGTTCAGTTGCCTCACAGAGCTGCATGACCTCAGGGTCTCTGTTCTGCCCAGAAGAGTATGCTGTTTGTCTGAAATCCTAACTTCCTGGTACAAGTGCCACAGGATATTGGAGCACCTGTTGGCGGGGAACTCTCCCATATGACATCAGGTTCCACTCCATTTCCAATCTTTTTTCTGAGCCCTTGTATCAACTAACAGAGTGGAGTGATAATGGTGGTGGGAGGTTGGTAAAGAAGAGTTTGCAAAATGTGGCAGGATGTGGCAAATACGACCGTCAGGAGGGCAACTTAGCTAAATCAAAAGCTAAGTTGCTCATGGCATCTGACAGCCATTACGAATTAAATTCTTAATCAGAGTTTGCAAACTGGCAGCCCACAGACCAAGTCTAACCTGCAGATACATGTTACTATGCTTGAAGATTATTTTTAAAACTTCAAATTCATTGCCAGCACTTAAAAACTGGGATTTTCCACAAACTCCTCATTTTCTCTGGAAAAAATCACATTCCCATAAGGCAAGCTGAGTGGTAACTGCTTCTTCAGACCATGTGTATACTCTCCAGCTCTCCAGTTACCTGCCGGTTCAGCCCCCTTGGCGTGCTGACATCATCTGCCTGACCCCGAAGGCATTTGATTTGGGAACCTTCTGAAAAATACTTATTGCTGTGGGAAGTTATTCATGGTATGTTAAGTTGAAAAGAGTTTGAAGTAATCACTACAGAAGTTTTATAAAAAATGTTTCAAAATATATATTATAGAAAAGTAGAAAATATTAGGCACAACTGGGGGCCTCCCAGGTGGCTCAGTGGTAAAGAATCTGCCTGCAATAGGAGAAGCAGGTTTGATCCATGGGTCAGGAAGATCACCTGGAGGAGGAAATGGCAACCCACTCCAGTATTCTTGCCTGGAAAATTCCATTTTCCAGGAGCCTGGTAGGATACAGTCCATAGAGTCACAAAAGAGTTAAACATGACTTAGTGACTAAACAACAAGATTAGGTATAATTAGCTAATGAATATTAGGATTACAAATTTCTTGTTTACTATCATTTTGACTTCTTCAACAACACACATACTTATATAAATAGTTTACAAATAGAAAAATATAAAACATCCCTATAATAAAATTATTGTAATATATAATTATTAACCAACTTACTATAATATGAAAATTATTTTAAAATACTTTTTCAAAAATGTTTACTGTATTTTAAATGGAACTAAGAAGGGTGAATTTTACTCTATGTAAATTATACTTCTATAAGCTTAACTAAAATGTGTGTATACACACACACACACACACACACACACGAGGCTGGCTAGTATTTCCAGTAGTCAAATGCTTGTATTTTTGCCTTAAAGTATATTTTTAAAATATGAGAAATAAAATGGTATTTGGGCAAAGGATATTTCAAAGTCAAATTATATTATTATAAACTGTGATACAGGAATCACTCATCTTGATAACTCAGACCATTAAAAAGAAAAGCTATCTTTTTAGTGTGGAATATAAACCTACTGAAGATAGGATGTTTAAGAAAATGCTGACTTCCAGTAGGAAAGAGAAATAAGAGCCTTTGTCATACCTTTGCTGTGTCCATACTTTCTGCTGTAATTCACGGATTTAGGGACTCCATCATTGTATATTAGATAGGCTGTGCTGTTATTCTGCAGGAATATTTTAAGGTTATAATGGCATAAGTCCTTCACTCATAGACATTTTTTGCTCACAACATTTCTACTAGCTACCCAGCCTACAGTACAGAACTTTCATTACTACACATGAGAAACCATCCACTCCCCTAATAGGCAGATTTCCCATCAATTTGAATTCTGTGACATGCAAGGCAGGCGACAAGAAGTCCATCCTCAACTTCGCAACTTGTGTGACAGGAGCCCTGTGCTCTGTGATGTGTGTGTGAGGGCAATATTCCTATTTCTCCCAGTTGTTTTGGACTCATGTTTCTGATGAAGCAACTAGTGTATAATAAAGGAGTCCTTAAATATTTGTTCAGGAAATGAAGTAAGAACAACCAGCCAAGGATTACATCTGGGCTCTTTCCATTGATATTATAGGCACAGCGCAGAGCTGGCTGTCAGGGTTTGATTTCCTCTGCCTACTTTGTGCTTTACCACTTGGTCGTAGCTTCCTGTTTAATCAGAATTCCCCATTCTCTGCTTCTACTACCTCTTAGTTAGTGGAGGATTTTTCTTCAATCTATTTCTCTGTGTCACTTCACCTTTACAATTGACATTCCCCTGCTTAAAAAAAGTGGTGTAATTGAATGTGTGATATTGAATTTCCTCTGGGAAGGCAAAATGCTAGTAAATTCTCCAGTTTGCCAAATCTCTGAGTCAAAATGAAACTATTACTTTGATAGTGTCTTTTTGTCATGTTTTGGAAACTTGCTTATATTTGTTCAGTGTCATTCCATTTCAATTGTGTCATGATGCAGTGACTTTTAATGAAGCCAATAATGTCAATAGTAAAAAGTCCCAGCTATATATTAATAATTAAAAGCAGGAAAGGACAAACCATCTCTGTAAAAAAGGTCTTTGTTTTTCTCTGAGAAAAAAATAAGAGTCTCCTACAGTTGCTTCATTATTTGATTTCATCTAAAACCATTTTTTTTTAAAGGCATAAGATAGTCTGTATAGCATTTTTGGCTACTATATTCAGGAATATTCGGGGAAATAAGCTGTTTTCTTACCTGCATTTTCCATAATTGACCATAGCTACAGTTGGCGTTCATATTCTCCACTGGAGAACTCTGACAGTTATTCTATGAGTCTGTGTTGAATGCGGTAACAAGGCCATTGTGTGCCTTTAGGGTACAATGTCGAGGGCCTCTGGGAAGATTCGGTGAGGAACATAATTCTCCTAATAGATGAAGTTTATCATTCTAACTAGGAGTGTAACAATCAACTAAGATTAAATGGGATGTAACTCTAGTGAAGAGAGGCCCTCTCACAAAGAGGAAAAATCATGAACTAACAATAGGGCCTGGAGATAATCATACTAAGTGAAGTCAGACAGAAAGGCAAATATCATATGATATCATTTGTATGCAGGATCTTAAAAAATGATGCAAATGAACTTTTTTTACAAAACAGACTCACAGACTTAGAGAATAAATTTACGATACAGGAGTCGGGGGGAAATGTGGGGAGGAGGGATAGATTGGGAGTTTGGGATTGACATGTACACACTGCTATATTTAAAATACATAACCAACAAAGACCTGCTGTATAGCACAGGGAATTCTGCTCAGTATTCTGTAATAAATTAATGGGAAAATAATTTGAAAAAGAATAGATACATGTGTATATATAACTGAATCACTTTACTGTGCACCTGAAACTAGCACAAAATTGCTAATCAACTGTGCTCCAATATAAAATAAAAATAATAATAAAAAAGAATAAGCAGACCTAGTCCTGTGTGTTTGGACATCTTTCTTTCTTTAACTCTTAATTGGATTTGACTTATTTGACTACTGGATGTTGAACAAGAAGGTTATGGTCCCCAGTCTAGCTGGGAATATAGTCAGGCAAATATAGGCAACTGTGATATGGTCTAAGTGTTATTGTTAAGGTATATGGAAGGTTCTCATTTATTGACACAAAAGCAGAAGGAAAGTATTTCCCAACATAACCCCAGACATTATCTTAACTTGACATTTGAGATTTAAAACCAGTTAGTCTGATCTTGCTTTCTGCTCTCTGTTAGAAGTTCAATTCTGGGTCAGAAGATCGGAAAGGTGTATTTTCATGGTCACTCCTGGCACGTGTGTTCAACTTCTGAAGAACATTCAGTCTTATCTGGATATCACCCCCTACTGTCGCTATTCTTCTTTTGGCTCTATGCCAATCAAACATGGCAATCAGCCCTGCTACTGTCATTTTCTTCCAGAATCCACCACTCCTGGCGTCGTGTGTGAGCAGGGCGTACTGAAGCTAGGAAACATTGAATGGTTTTACATTGCCAAGCTGACCTGCTTCAGCCTCCCTCCATGTTTTATATACTTTTTAATTCCTAGCTTCCATCTGCATTTTTTTTTTTTTTTTTTTTCTTTTAGCAAAGCAGTTTAGTTCTCCTGCCCTCCTAGGCTCTGGGACTACTTTTGCACTTCCAAAGATCATTGTTATAGTTTGTCAAACTAAGATCCATCCTTCCCAACCAAGGTAAACGACAGAGGCTTTGCAGTGTTACCCTTTCCTTTCTCTTCTTGGGCAGTGTGCAATGGGAAAGGGAAGAATGTGTTTATTTTTTCATTGATGGGTTATACTCCAGGTTTTTCCATCGCCAACCTTGGAAAGCAGAAGCAGCTGCAAGTAATTTTTATTTTACATAATAATTTATTAATTCAAAACAGGCCTGTTGCTGAGACTGAAGAATTTCTAAAAGCCCCTAGGACAGTGTTTGGAACATCATATGTATTGAAATAGCCTACAAGTAAGTTTTGACTTGGTAACTTGGCTCTGAAGGCTGGTGTTAATGACAGGTGAATACAGTGAGTATTTGCACACACAGAGACAGTTCACACATTTCAAGTAAATGCTCAAATAGACCTGTGCACTATGGTGTCTCAGTGCAAAAATGCAAAATGGCTGTCTGAGGAGGCCTTACAAATAGCTGTGAAAAAAGGGAAGTGAAAAGCAAAGAAGAAAAGGAAAGATATACCCATTTGAATGCAGAGTTCCAAAGAATAGCAAGGAAAGATAAGAAAGCTTTCCTCAGCGATCAATGCAAAGAAACAGAGGAAAACAATAGAATGGAAAGACTAGAGATCTCTTCAAGAAAATAAGAGATACCAAGGGAACATTTCATGCAAAGATGGGCTCAATAAAGGACAGAAATGTTAGGGACCTAACAGAAGTAGAAGATATTAAGAAGAGGTGGCAAGAATACACAGAAGAACTGTACAAAGAAGCTCTTCATGACCCAGATCATCACAATGGTGTGATCACTCACCTAGAGCCAGACATCCTGGAATGTGAAGTCAAGTGGGCCTTAGAAAGCATCACTATGAACAAAGCTAGTGGATGTGATGGAATTCCACTTGATCTTAGCCAAAAGGCCGAGAAGCGATATGTGATGTGATGGAATTCCAGTTGAGCTATTTCAAATCCTGAAAGATGGTGCTGTTAAAATGCTGCACTCAATATGCCAGAAAATTTGGAAAACTCAGCAGTGGCCACAGGACTGGAAAAGGTCAGTTTTCATTCTAATCCCAAAGAAAGGCAATGCCAAAGAATGCTCAAATTATAGCACAATTGCACTCATCTCACATGCTTAAAATTCTCCAAGCCAGGCTTCAGCAATACGTGAACTGAGAACTTCCAGATGTTCAAGCTGGTTTTAGAAAAGGCAGAAGAACCAGAGATCAAATTGCCAACATCTGCTGGATCATCGAAAAAGCATGAGAGTTCCAGAAAAACATCTATTTCTGCTTTACTGACTATACCAAAGCCTTTGACTNTCATGTATGGATGTGAGAGTTGGACTATAAAGAAAGCTGAGCACCAAAGAATTGATGCTTTTGAACTGTGGTGTTGGAGCAGACTCTTGAGAGTCCCTTGCACTGCAAGGAGATCCAACCAGTCCATCCTAAAGGAGATCAGTCCTGGGTGGTTCATTGGAGGGACTGATGTTGAAGCTGAAACTCCAATACTTTGGCCACCTGATGCAAAGAGTTGACTCATTGGAAAAGACACTGATGCTGGGAAACATTGAGGGCAGGAGGAGAGGGGGATGACAGAGAATGAGGTGGTTGGATGGCATCACTGACTCAATGGGCATGGGTTTGGGGGGACTCTGGGAGTTGGTGATGGACAGGGAGGCCTGGCATGCTGTGGTTCATGGGGTCGCAAAGAGTTGGACACAACTGAGCGACTGAACTGATGGTGTCTCAGATGGTAAAGAATCTGCCTGCAGTGCAGGAGACTTGAGTTCGATCGCCTTGTGAAGGGAATGGCAACCCACTCTTGTATGCTTGCCTGGATAATCCCATGGACAGAGGAGCCTGGTGGGCTACAGTCCATGTGTTCGCAAAGAGTTGGACATGACTGCACGACTAACACTTTCAGTAGTGCTACAGTCTAACTCACAATTGTTGTGGGAATTAAATTAGTTGACATATGTAAAGGCCCAGCACATTGTTAAGCATTGAGTTATTTTACATTTTTACTTCTCAATAAATTGTTAGGAAATGCATAGATGAGTATGAAGTGAAGTGAAGTGAAAGTCGCTCAGCCATGTCTGGCTCTTTTTCGACCCCGTGAACTATACAGTCCGTGAAATTCTCTAGGCCAGAATATTGGAGTGGGTATCCTCTCCCTTCTCCAGGGGATCTTCCCAAACCAAGGATTGAACCCAGGTCTCCCACATTGCAGGCAGATTCTTAACCAGCTGAGCTGCAAGGGAAGCCCATAGATGAGTGTAACTGGATGTTAATTATTGTTTGACTTACTTGTCATCTCTGGTTGAAAAAATAGTATCTTTCACTGGATAGCAAATGTTGCCTGGATGTTGGGAGACTGCTCACGTTGAGGCACTAGGCCTATTTACCCATGTCTCTTTGGCTGGTTAGTTCATTGCCTGATGAAGTCCAGTGTGTGTGCTCAGTCACTCAGTCATGTCTTACTCTCTGTGATACTTAAGACTGTAGCCTGCCAGATTCCTCTGTCCATGGAATTTTTCAGGCAAGCATATTGGTGTGGGTTGCCATTTCCTCCTCCAGGGGATCTTCCCAACCCAGGGTTCAAACCCACGTCTCCTGCATCTCCTGCATTCACAGGCTGATTCTTTACTGCTGAGCTATGGAGAAAGCCCAATGAAGTCCAGATAGCAGATTTAATCTCCATTCAGACAAGTTAGTTCCAGGGCCTTGAACTAGTTCTTAACCTAGTAACCTAGGTACAGATACTCTAACCCAGTCCTAATTCTTAAACTACTATTTTGAAAATGATTAATTAAAGTGAACCCTTTACTTTTCCCATCAAACTCATCACACCATGGCATGAGCAACCCATAACTCATGGCATATTGACCACAGATCTATACTACATTGTACTAGGAAAGATCTCTTCTCTCTAGTTCCCTTTAAAGGGCTAAGATAGCCAGTACTGAGAAAAGTGGCAGAGTTTGGCAGCCAAAAGATTTCAATATGTAATTAGTTCAGTGATGCCATTGGACATAGTGCTAAAAGTATACACAATTTGGCATTGCTGTAGAGTCTGTTGACATATCCCCTAAGGTCTTAGATTGATTCAGATTCTAAGCTAACTTACTTCCAGTTGCTAGGATTGGGGGTTGGATATGTGAGCAGTTATAACTTTTTGGAAGCTTTGGAGTCTGTATTATGCATTTTATGTGATTCAAATGAATGATTAACTATAACATACCTTGGAGGCAGATGCTGCATATAGTTGTTGTAATGTCCTTCCCAAAACACTCTTGGTGGCATTCATTAGTTGCTTACTCCTGCTCCAGCTTCTGGTTGTAGAGTCTAGGTAAAGGTACTCTAACCCAGTCTCTCTGCTTTCCTCATCTTGCCTTTTGGGCAACTTATAAAAGGTAAACCTAACAAAGGAAATAATTATGAATTACTAACATTTACTGAGTGTTACCTTTTTTTAAATTTAGTTTTTAATTGGAGGAAAATTGCTTTACAATGTTGCATTGATTTCTGCCATACAACAATGTGAATCAGGCATGAGTGTGTGTATATATACACACATCCATCACACCTTCCTCTTGCGCTTCCCTCCCCTTCTGCCATCCCATCCCTCTAGGTCATCACAGAGTGCCTGGCTGGGCTCCCTGTGTTGTATAGCTGTTTCCTAGTAGCTATCTATTTTATACATGATAGTGTAAATATGTCAGTGCTACTTTCTCAATTTATCCCACCCTCTCCTTCCCCTGCTGCATCCACAAGTCTGTTCTCTATGTCTGTGCCTCCATTCCTTTCTTGCAAATAGGTTCATCAGTATCATTTTTCTAGATTCCACATATGTGCATTGATATATTATATTTGTTTTTCTCTTTCTGACTTACTTTGCTCTGTGTAACAGGCTGTGGGTTCATCCACCTCACTACAAATGACTCGAGTTTGTTCCTTTTTATGATTGAGAAATATTCCATTGCATATACGTACCATATCTTCTTTATCCATTCATCTGTCAATGGACATCTATTGCCTCCATGTCCTGGCTGTTGTGAATAGTGCTGCAGTGAACACTGCTGTAAATGTGTCTTTTTGAAATGTGGCTTTCTCAGGGTATATGCATAGTAGTGGGATTGTGGGATCATATGGTAGATTTATTCCTAGCTTTTTAAGGAATCTCCATATTGTTCTCCCTAATAGCTGCATCAGTTTACATTCCCACCAATAGTGCAGGAGGGTTCCCTTTTTTTCCATAGCCTCTTCAGCATTTATTGTTTGTAGATTTTTTGATGATGGTCATTCTGATTGGTGTAAGGTGATATCTCACAGTAGTTTTGATTTGCACTTCTCTAATAATGAGTGATGTTGAGCATCTTTTCATATGGTTATGTCTTATTTGGAGAAATGTCTAAGTATTCTGCCCGTTTTTTGATTGGGTTATTTGTTTTTCTGATATTGAGCTGTATGAGCTGCTTATATATTTTGGAGATTAATTTGTCAGTTACTTTGTTTGCAGTTATTTTCTCCCATTCTGAGGGCTGGACTGACTATTTTCTTGATGGTAGGCACTGTCAGGCCTTTAACTATATCATTTCACCTATATTTCACAGAAGGTCTCGAAGTTAAGGAGAGGGATTTGCTCCAGCTTTCTGCCTCTTACATTCCACCCTTACTGTTGCTCCTTCCTAGCGAAGGAAATACAAATCTGACTGTGCGTGTTCTAAAAACATTTACTGGCCTGGTGTGTGAGATCCCATGTGGTGAAAGCCCACATACATTGAAAATGGCTCTTCTATTCTTTCCACAGTTGGTAAGAATGCCAAGGCCTAGGCCTGGACTAGAGAAGTCTTAGATGTGTCTCTGCTGCCTGAAGGGCTTGGCGTGCTCATCTCTTTGCAGCTGGCTGGCTGAATCTGAGATTTGGGTTTGGGCATCAGAGTCAGTGGAGGCTGTTTTGAGCCTCTGGCCTGAGCCACGTTCTTCAGCTCGATTTATCGGTACACTCTGCATTGAGGATTCAGGGCCAAGCCCAACCAATTAAGTGCGTGCCTTGCTTGCTTTCCTGTTGTCTCCTGTTCGTATGTTTCCTTTGGTTGCCTCACACGATGCAGAGGTGGCTGGACCTGCATGGTATTCAGACGTTCTTGAATCATCTGGCCCAGGTTTCTCAGTGTGCTATATTCACATTTGGGGGCTCATTGTTCTTCGTTCTGGGGGGCTTCCCTGTGAACTGTAGTATCCCTTGCTTCTACCTGTCAGTAGTACATATTCCCCCAGTCATGCCAATCAAAAATGTCTGCAGACATTGTCAAAAGTACCTGGAAGGTGAAATTGACTTTGTCTAGCCAAATACCCTTTAATATCATGAACCCACATTTAACCCTCAAATACTCACACTGAACCAAATATTGTAATGCATTCACTATTACCACATAATAGCATTTCGCTTTACCCAGAAAATCTTCACTTTTCATTGGGTTCTCACCAGTCTTATGCTTCTATTTATGTTCTTTCCTGCCCTGTCCAGGCTTTCTGACTCTCAGGGCCAGGTCCTCACATGTGGCAGGAAACATGAAATTATTCTTTGATGCTGACCTCATGTTCCTCTGGCCTTTAACTCTCACAGTAAGTTTTAGACTCAAGACTGTGCCTCCGTGTGTGCTCAACTCAGCATCCTCTCTGACAGAGACTACTAAATAACATGTCCATTCATTTGTGGCAAAAATAAATTTTATGTGTTGATCACAATTTGATGGCCCACCAATGAAAGGTTTGTGAACTATCATGGCACACCAGTTAAGGACCAGTGCTTTTATAAACAATTTTCCTGGGTGACCATATCCAGTTACAATCTGAAGATTCTTGAATCTATTTCTAGCCTCTGTGCTGAGGTCTAGATAAACCCAAATGCAAAGATGGTTCAGAGACCAACTCCATGGTTTTGAAACCAAGTTCATGATATTGTGCAACAAATATATTCATTCCCTACTCTTAGGGGACACATTCACACAATCACAGAAACTAGCAACCTGCAAGTCTTTCTTAACATCTTCCTCTCTCCTACTGCCCTCTGCCCATCCATTACCAAGTCTTCTCAGCTGTTCTTCTGCTTTACTTCTACTTCTTAACTCGAGTATCCAGACATTGCCTGGATACTCTCCTCACCTATTATGCTGCAGAAGTCTCGTTGGTCTCCATGACCCTGCACTGGTTCCCGGCCAACTGGCCTTCACAGTACTGCCAGTGGGCTTTCTAAAATGCAAATCTGACTTATTCAAGTCCCTACTTGACGTCCCTCAGTAGTTCCCTTTCAAGGTCAAATTCAGTCTCAGCAATTTAACCCATAAAGCCCTTCATGACCTGGCCCTCGCTTATCTCTCTAAGCTCCCCTCTTGCCATTTCCCCATGTTCTCCTGAAGCACAAACATTACTCAACTGCTTCCAGACTTTCCCCATTGTTTGTTGCCTCTGGACCTCCTCAGTGCTTCCCCATTGGCCTGAAATGCCCTGACATCTCCCTTGTCTTTCTAACTAACTAAAAATTATTATCCAAACTTCTCCCAGAGAAGTCTTTTGGGCCCCATCCTCTCCAGTGCCCCATCTATACCCTTACCGCACAACTATGAGCTCCTTAAGAGTAACAACTATGCTTTATTCATATTTATGTTTTCAGAACTTAGCACAGGACTGGTGTGTGCTCAGTAACTCTTTGGTGAGAGAGTGACTGAGTGTATCTGTGTCCTCCAGCCTCAACTTTACACAAAGCTTGATGCCAACCGTAAAAGCAAACCTAAATACCCTAATTAAAGAGTGAAGAAGTGATCAGAGCTTTTGGAGCATCCATGACTGTAATGCAAAGCTGTGTTTCACCCCTTTGACACTTGAGGAGATCAGTGGCCTCCCACCCACTCTGACAACTGCCTGTCTGACCCAACAAACAAGGTTAACCAAACAGTGCTATGTACCACCAAACCCTCTTTCTCCTTCACGTAAGCATATGCTCCACTATCAGGAAAAAGTCATCTATCTTCTCTCCTTTGTCAACTTAAAAGGATGCTGGGAGTGTTCTGTTAGGAAAACCACAAAACAATTGAAGGAACTTGCCAAATGAGGGAAGCTGTCTTTGCCCTGCTGAGAGGATGAATCAGGCCCACAAGGCACTGCTCAGCTCCTTCTCAAGGGAAAGATCCCTCATTCAGATCCTATCTATACCTGGATACATGGCCAGGTACACACTTTCACGTCCTTTCCTTTTATGGGGAGAGGTGGAGCAGAGGTCTCCTTCAGAACACACAGTGAACCAGTAACCACCAGTAGTTTGGCTTTCCACTGGCAGGCACCAAGCCTTACATTTCATTTACTTACCAATCCACAGCCTCACCGTCTTCATTTCTACATGATATTTTTGTTGCCTCCAGGATCCCAAAGAGACCAAGGAACAGCACAATCAGCAGCGTTCCTAGAAGTCTTGCTGTCATTTTCTGTCACCTTTAGTCCATGGCACAGCAGGAAAACTTCCCCCTGGATGGTGGAGTCTGAGTTTCAAATCTCCCTCAAACTGTGCTGGCTCTGACGTTTGATTCCATTCACCTCTGCCATTTGCTGTCTGGGCATTTTCAGAATGGGATGCATCCTATGTAATTGTGTGGTTCAGTCACAACATGCCAGCGTGATTCCTCATGCCTTTGTGCTGAATTGTTGACTGGTTTGCAAAGTCATCAAAAAGTCCTGGAGAGAAAAAAGGGATGTATGGGTAACTCTTTGGAGTGAACATCGTGTGATAGGAAGTTCAGTGGACAGGAGAACTCTGTATTGATAAACAGATGTTGAATTAAATCTATTTCATGTGTTTTCCCCTGATGATTGTTTCTCTATGAAAAGAAAAGAAAGTAAAATAAAGTCACTCAGTCATGTCTGACTCTTTGCGACCCCATGGGCTGTTGCCTACCAGGCTCCTCCGTCCATGGGATTTTCCAGGCAAGAATACTGGAGTGGGTTGCCATTTCCTTCTCTAGGAGATCTTTCTGACCCAGAGATTGGACGCAGGTCTCCCGCACTGTAGGCAGATGCTTTACTGTCTGAGCCACTGGGAAGTCCTCTACGAGTTTCTCTATGAGTGAGGGTAAATGTTTGTGGTTCACCCATTAAACAGAAATGACAAAAATCTTATGTCTTAATAATAATTAGGATCTATCACTTGTGATACTCTCTATCTTAAGGAAACATTTACTGAAGAGTGCTTCAAAGGCTTGCTTCAAAGAAAGGGCAAATTCAGAATTGCTTTTAGCAAAGATGTTTACATATCCTCTCCACCTCCTAGCTTCAGCCACTCAGCATGGTGCTTTACTTCAAAGAGGCTTTGCTGTCCAATAGGTTACAATGCAATCAGATAAACATACTGACCACTCTTGCATCAGATCAAATGAAAAATGTTGCAAGCATCAGTTTTGCCCAAATTATTCTTTCTCACTCTTGAAACTGAATCTGAAGTTGAAAACAAAGGGAAAATGGCTCATTACCGTAATGACTATCAAAAGGTGAGCCCATTCTCTTTTTGGAGGAGGGAAGAGGTAGATGGGCATACGAAAAAATTTCTTTAAGTGCCTGCTGATTTTTAATCAATTATTAAAGATGCTGTCATAATAAATAGCAGTTTACTTTATACCTGAAAATAATTATGGCTCTGATCTGTCTCTTTGATTATGGATCAGATCAGTTACTTAAGAATTCAAACTAAACTGGACCCTTGCAAATTGGATCACTTCTATGGTTGAACTGGGGTTATTCAGGATTCTTGGGGGTTCATAGGAAAGAGAGGGCTAGTTCTCTTATAACAGAATTTTGTGTGAAATGTTCTGGACCACCCATCCATATTTTCCTGAGGTGCCTTGCAAGAACAGAATTGTGGGCCTTGATCCAAACCTGATAAATAAAAATCCTTCCAGATGGGTCAGGAATCTACCTTAATTACCAGATTTTTGGTGATCTGCTGTACTTTAAACTTTGAGAATCGCTGGCCTGAGATCAAGGCTGTGCTGTATCTGGTTACCAAATTGGTAAACTGAGAAGCCTTTTTCTGACTATTCCTCCATGGGTATCATATTATTTAATGTATGTTTTCACTGCTCTCAGATTAAAATGATCTCAGCAAACCCAAGCTTTTCATCGATTTTTTAAAAATTTCATAGCATGAAGTTTACTTTTCTAAGTTAAAGTGAAATAAATTTAATTTTATTCATATTTATCTTGTGATACCTTTTCATATTATGATAATAGATAAATACACAAGGCTTAAGATTCATTAATTCATGGAAAATATAAGGAACTTGTTTTCAGTTATATAAGCTAAAGAACTTTTGTTGAATAAGATATAAAATAATTCATATTTTCTCCTCATTACACATTTAGCACATGCATGCATACATGGTCACTGAGTCGTGTCTGATTCTTTGCAATCCAATGGACTGTAACCCCCCCAGGCTCCTCTGTCCTTGGCATTTTTCAAGCAAGAATACTGGAGTGGGTTGCCATTTTCTCCTCCAGGGAATCTTCCTGACCCAGGGATCAAACCAGCAGCTCTTGCATTATCCTGCATTAGCAGGTGGATTCTTTACCAACTGTTCTATGTGCGCATCCTACACACTTAGCACAGTGCATGGCAAATAGTAAATGATCTGTAAATGATAGCTAAGATTATTTTTACTTTAACCTGAGCCTTTCCTGTGACTGGACTTTAGGATATCTGCATTAGGATGGTTTTGCTAAAGCTAATTTTATTTCAAGGTCTGGAAAAACAGGTAGGTTCTTTTCTTGGAGATGTCATTTTCAATAAACTTTCTTATCTCTTGTTTCTGACCTGATCATGCTGGTTGTCAGTCAACAGCCTTCATTATGCAATCACTAAGTGTCAAACAGTGCACCCCAGACACTGAAGGGATCCAGGGATTTCAACATTACCCTAAAGCCTAAATTCCAGTGTGTCCTGGGTTTTTACTAAAAACAGCAAAGTAATGGCATGGAAAGAAGCACAATGAATTTAATGGATAGACAAAACAAACTGGGCAGAATGTTTTTCACATTACCCACTTTCGAAGCCCAAGTAATAAAATATTATGAAAATACCATGTCTCCGTCATAATGATTAAATCTTTATAGAAGAAGAAGAAATCTTTATAGAAGAAATCATAGAAAATCCCTTCATTGTAACTTGGCCAAGTATAGTGAACAAAGATGAGTTCTTCACTTGGCATTGGGCTTCTTATTTTATGGTTAAAAGTTTGCATTTATTCATCCAGTAATTCTAGAAAATCTGTCTTTTTTCATTGAAGTGTAGTTGATTTACAATGTTAATTATTGCCATACAGTAAAGTAGTTGTTTACATACATATTCTTTTTTAAATACTCTTTTCCATTGTGGTCTATCATAGGATATTGAATATAATTCTCTGTGTTATACAGTAGGGTCTAGTTGTTTATCTGTTCTGTGTATAAAAGCTTACATCTGCTAACCCCAACCTCCTATTCCATCCGTCCGCCAACCCTCTCCCCACCACAAGTCTGTTCTCCATGTTGTTGATTCTGTTTCATAGACAGGTTCATTTGTGTCATATTTTAGATTCCACATATAAGTGATATCATATGATATTTGTCTTTCTCTCTCTGACTTACTTCACTTAGTAAGATAATCTCTAGTTGCGAAAAGCTCAGTCTTAATTTCTCCAAATTTTGCCTCTTTCACATTATCTCTATTATATCTTTCTAGTACATTTTTATACTATTCTTTTTCTAAAAAAATTATTTTTTCATTGAAGTATAGTTGATTTACAATGTTTTGTTAGTTTCAGGTGTACAACAAAGTGACTAAGATACAAAATATTGAGTATAGAGTTCTCTGTGCTGTACAGTAGGTCCTTATTAATTATCTATTTTATATATAGTAGTGTGTATATGTTACTCATAAATTCCTAATTTATCCCTTCCTCCAACCTTTCCCTTTCGGTAACAATAAGTTTGTTTTCTATGTTTGTGAGTCTGTTTCTGTTTTGTAAATACATTTTATGTTTCTTTTGTATATTCGATCTCCTGTGTATCCGCTTTAATCTCTGATTCTTTATTTGGGTCAGTGTCCCAGATCAATCTCTGACAAGATTAAATTGTTACTTAATCTGTCTCTTGCAAATAACTAATTCTTTCTGTTTCAGTCTGTTTCTTAATCCACTTATTAGTGCATTTCTAGAAGCTCTGTTGGATTCTTTTTCAAATTTTCCTGGTCTTTTTTATGGTTTTTTAATTTCTCATTCAAGAGAAGCTTCTTAATTTTCTCTTTTATTTCTGTAAAAATATTAAATATTTGATTTTACATTTTGTGTCTGATAATTCCAGTATCTGAACTCCTTGCAGCTCAGACTTTCCTACCTGTTATTTCTGTGACTCTCTCTCAAGATACCTTGTTACTATGGATGCTTTTGATTTTTCATTATGAGTCCATGTCCCTTAAAGCTTTATGTGTGAGAATGTGAGGACGAGATCCAGCTGGGTTTGTCCAGACCATGATCTGTGCTGGCTTCAGCACGGTGCATTCATCTTGCAAAGACTCCTGGGTATTAGACCGCTGGCTTTGTTTCTTTAGCCTCAGTAACTCTTTGAGGTATGGCTTCCCTGGTGGCTCAGATGGTAAAGAATCTGCCCACAATGTGGGAGAGCTGGGTTCGATCCCTGGGTGGATAAGATCCCCTGGAGAAGGGCATGGCAACCCACTCCAGTACTCTTGACTGGAGAATTCCATGGACAAAGGAGTGTGATAGGCTACAGTCCACAGGGTCGCAAAGAGTCGGACATGGCTGTGTGACTTTCACTTATATACTACAACATTTTTATGTTTAAGTCCAACTTTAATTTTGTTCAAACTGTTAAAAAAAACTATTAATATACAGAGTAAAATCTAGACTGTGACAAAGAAAAAGTTGATATGCTTGTTGCATTGTTATTTTGATGAAATGGGCTGAGACAAGCAAAATGGCCCAGGTATTTGTAGCATAAAGAATTGTTGATGAAAATGTGGTTAAAAGAAAAGATAAGGAGAATAATCAGAAGAGGACCAGACAGTCTGCCTGTCAGCTATGTGACTTCGGGAAACTTGTTAACATCACTGATGTAGCTTATTTTAAAATAAGTGTTCTTTCCACCAAATCACAGGGTTTTTGTGAGGAATAGATTAGATAGTGTAGGTCTTTAATGGATGGAAAATTTTTAAATGTATAGAAGGGCAAATTTCTGCAGTAGCATGTCCACTTCCCTCTTTCTGTTGGGATCAGAGTACTTCCTTTCTTTCCCTAATGAGTATAGGGACTTTGATGTAGTAAGATAGAACATATCATTTTAGGGCAAATGGGCTGGGTTTTCCTCCTGCCTCTGTCACCCAATAACTGTGTGACCTTGACAAGTACTTAGCCTTAAAGTCTTCCTTTGTGAAACTTGAATAAGGATATCTGCTTCACAGTGTTCTGGTAAAGGGTTAGAGGAAATCATACATGCAAATTTCCCAACATGTATCAAACCCTCACTAAATGGTTGCTACTCGTATTTTTACTTGTAAGTCTTACACATTAGGAAAGAGAAATCTTTCAGTGTAGGCATTTCAGTAGAATTTCCTTCCAACTGCATGTTTGGAAGTCTCCATCAATTCTTTTTATTTTTTATTTTTACAAAGTTTTTAAAAAATATTTATTTATTTATTTATATGACTGTGTTGGGTCATAGCTGTGGCACAGGGATCTTTAGTTGCAGCATGTAGGATCTAGTTCCCTGACCAGGAAATGAACCCGGGCCCCTTGCATTGGGAGAACAGAGTCTTAACAACTGGACCACCAGGGAAGTCCCTCCATCAGTTCTTTGTTGTGAGATTTCTTGCCCCTAATCCTAGAGGCTCCAGAGGCCTGTTCCAGCTAAGACTATTGCTACCTTGGAGAGGCTGGCAAGAAGAAAATTAGCATTTCCCTTTGCATTTAGTAATGAGTTGCTCTTCCTTTGTAACAGGCAGAAGTATGAAAATAACTGAGCACCTATAAATGGAGTCTTCATTAGGTGACAGGTCGCCTTTTCTACAATAATTATGCTTATGAATTTTTACATTGTTCTTGAAACCTCTGCTTGACAAATCCCTTAATGTTAGTTAAAACACTTTGAACATAACTCAAGGCATATCCCCCCTTGGTATTAAAAATGAGCCACTCTACAACCTAAAGCAACATGACATTTTTTCTATCAATATCAATATTGATATCAATATTTTTCTATCTGACATTTAGTAGATCCTAAGCAGCCAAAAAAAAAAAAAAAAATACCAGTTGCCTCTAAGGTTATTATTCATCATTATTGTTTTTATCATTATATATTATTAAGATCCACCAAAATGATATTAAGAGTGTTCATATGAATGCTCTTTTTTTCTCATATTAGTTCAGCACTTTTCTCGGAAGTCTTCTTGTTCACAAATGCCCAAGAAAATACCCAGGCAGAGGAAGAACCTAGGCAGAGAATTGGAAGGACTTCTCTAACACATTCCAAAGACAAGGAGGGAGGCATGTCTCCTGGCTGAGTTCTTCCATCTATCACCGCACACTGCAACTGAATTGGTATTTATACATGAGTGATGGGTCCAAAACAGCTCGCACTTTTGTATTTCCCTCTATTATGATGGGTAGAGATATGCTTACAAGAGCTCCTCTAATACTTGAGAGAAAATTCTAGTCATTCTAAAATTTAAATTTATAAAAATTTTCCCTTGTCTTTCCTAATATTTTCTACCTCAGATCCATCCACTGGACCTTATAGACCTTAACAGACCCAAGGCTAATAAATCCGAGACCTGTAGTGACAACCTACATCACTTTCAGTGTGGCCTGGGAAAAACAGAACACTCAGTATCTGACTGCAGAAGTGAAAATGCATGAGTCATTTAAAAAAAATCTCTGAGAGTTCTCTCCAGCATTACTTAGAGGCAATCAATGGTTCTCTATTCCTTTATATTTCAAGATTGTCTAAGAAAAGGGGACTTTTCTCATGCAGTGCCAAGTATAGATATCCTACTGATATCTTTGTCTGATATTTTGTCGAGAGTACTGCTCTGGGAAATTAAGTTTTCTTTTACAACTTTGTTCCCCCAAGCCACATAAGCCTGAGGAAGGACAACCAAAGTATGAAGGCCGAAGTAGGCTGGATCATAGCTGCAGTCTTTGAGTTTAGCCACCCTAGTTCTGGAATGACGTGTAGCCTGAGTATTTCTCTCTAACGGTAACTGGAAGAACCCTTTGATGCAAAATATAACATACAATTATTGTTTATTAATAGCTAATGTTTGTTGAACATTTATTTGCCAGGTACTTTTCTAAGTGTTTTATGTTTTTTTGGTCATATAATCCTCACAGCAATCCTGATAGATTGGCTCTAGTGTCATTGATTTTGCAAATGAAGAAATTTGCCTCCATTCAGAGAGTTAATAGGTGGCAGAACAGAAACTCACACTTGGCCCCTCTGATTCCATCCTCTCTGCTCCCCACCCACCCTCCGGATGAGAGAAGCCTTGGTATTTTCCTACCTGGTTATCTTGGATGTGGATCTCTGCCCCACACTGTGCAGTGTACACAATAGGATTCTGGCACCTACTCCTGGTTCTCAGACTACAGAGCTGGGGAGGCTTCATTGAGAACAGCCTCAGTCTGGCCTGGGCCATTATCTGTTCTGTCAGGTCCTGCTGAGGGGCTCTCAAGTGTCCCACACTGTTCTTGTTCCTTCTTGCTCCAACCTCAGATGGTTACGTCCTCTTCATTCTGACTCATTTGCTCAGTAAACATCATTACTCAGCCTTTGCTGGAGCACCAAGGCCTAGGCAGGGGCTTTCTAAGGTTGCTGACCTGTCCGGCATGTGTCACTCATGAGCCCCGGGTGGCTGTGGTTCTGGAGCGTTCTGTCTTGTTAGCACTGGGGACACTATGTGCTGTGTCACTGACTCTGTCTGCCCTCAACTCTGCCCTTCCTGACCTTATTCTCCGGCCAGCTGTTCCTGTCATCTCTGTGCTGCGGTGATCAGAGAGCACAAGTTGCCTTCCCCTCTTTCCTAGGAAGAGGAACTTCCTGATGGGGTTCTGAGCTGAAGCAGCTCTTCCTGTACTGAAATCTTAGGGGCATTTTCATGAACGAGTCCGTCATTGCATAAGAGGTGCAGGTGATGAGGCAGCAGTCAGTCACTCATGATACATTTATTAGGCACCCATTTATGTTCCAAGTACTCTGCTGAGCACGGGGGTTGCTATGGCGACCAAGATGGAAATTGTTTCTGCTTTCATGGCTTACAGTTTTTGAACAAATCACACACATGAAGAGGCAGTTATAGTTCTACTTGATAAAGTCTCTGATAAGGCAATAACAGAGCATTTTGAGATCACACAGAAGCGGCACCTACTTCAGACTTGAAGGGCTGGGGCAGATTACCTAGTGGAAGTGACATCTGAGATTTAAAGAAGCTGAGTCAGAAGTTAGTCAGGTGAAGAGATTGGTAGTCAGATAACGAGGAAGAGAAGAATGTTCAAGCCCAGGTTGGATGCATGAGACAAGTGCTCGGGCCTGGTGCACTGGGAAGACCCAGAGGGATCGGGTGGAGAGGGAGGTGGGAGGGGGGACCGGGATGGGGAATACATGTAAATCCACGGCTAATTCATTTCAGTGTATGGAAAAAAACCACTGCAATGTTGTAAAGTAATTAGCCTCCAACTAATAAAAATAAATGAAAAAAAAAACAAGAAGAAAGAAGTAATAGTAAATTCAAAGGGCTACTGGCAGAGCAGAAAGCATACAGAGCCAGGGTGACCACAATTAGCTCAGGATAGCCAAAGTGCAGTTTGAGGTAGAATGTGGTAAAATACAAAGCTGGATTGGTGAGCAGGAGTGGAGATATGAAGGGTAGCTACCATTCCATCTTTCTTGGTACCTCATGGTAACTACTTACTTTTAACAGGCTAACCAGCACGGGTACTTAGTGGCAGGGAATAGGACTGAGGAGTAATATTTGTTGAGTCTTCCTGTGTGCTGAAGGTGCTGGAAGTTTTCAGAGACCTCTTGTCCTGGACCCCAGCCCATATTACCCAGGGACCCCAAGCCAGCCAAGGCCTCCCTCCTCCGGGTAGAATTCCTAGTGGTTCAAGACACACCAGTCTTCCTTCTGCTGTTAGCAGCAGGGCTCCCCACTCCAGAAACGAGTGCCCCTGCTCAGGGCTCCTTCTGCTGTCTCTGCTGCTGCCGCATCCACAGCCAGAGCTGACACGGCCACTCTTGCTACGGGGGGGACCTCAGTGCATCAGTGGTACCAGGGATGGAGCCCAGCCCTTCACGTTCACCAGCACTTGTTGAGGTAGTTATCTCCATTTTTACAAAGCAGGTGGAAACTCGGGCTTACAGACATCAAATTATTTGTTACAAGCCACAAAGCTAAAACTGGCAGGGCAGAATTTGGACCTGGTCTGATTTCAAAGCCACTACAATCACACGACTGTGACTCTTTCCCGGTCAGCATTAGAGTTCTTATTAGGATCCTTTAAGTCTCCTCTTCAGATTTTCTTACTGATGTTTTTCTTGAAGATGAGTCCCCGAAAGATTGGGTCAGAGGCTTCTGTGGAGACTCTCCGAGAGTGACCCTTTCGTACGTCACTCCTACAGGGGAAGTACTGAATGTAACGCCTCAGACCCTCAGGGTATATGCAGCAAGGACAGCAGCAAGCCCTACCAGGCTCTGTCCCCAAGATTTAAGACAGCCTCCCCTACCTCAGTTTGATAAAGGATATGACAATAATTTCTAATTTTAGTATTTTAAAATTCCTCCTAGGGGGTGTGGTGATTTTTTTAAATGCAGGTAGGTGTTTAGGCAGTTCCTGACCTGTCTGAGCATATCACATATGTGTGATAAGCAGGTGAGGTTTCTTCTTTGTGACCTCCCCAGATTCTCACTGCATGTTGTTTTTGATTTACTGTTATATTTGTCACCTTTTCTTATTACCATTCCTATGACAATTTTCTTTCTTTTTTTTTCCTTTATTTTTTTTAGTTGGAGGCTAATTACTTTACAATATTGTAGTGGTTTTTGTCATATATTGACATGAATCAGCCATGGATTTACATGTATTCCCCATCCTGATCCCCCCTCCCACCTCCCTCTCCACCCAATTCCTCTGGGTCTTCCCAGTGCACCAGGCCCGAGCACTTGTCTCATGTCTATGACAATTTTTATGCTAAATAAAATAAGTTTTCCTGTCCCTCTGCTCCCTCCTGCCCCTTTTCTCAAACACCAGGAAAGCCCAGGCACAAGTCTTAAAGGGCCTAGCAGTGGAGATGGGCGTAATCGCCAGTGAGGGCTCCAGCTTCAGACAGGGATACTGATGAATCAATCACTGGCTTTTATTAAGGGTCTCTTCTCTAAAAGCATAGCTCTCCCTACAGCCAGATGGCCCTGGCTCTGTGCTGCTGAAGGTCATCAAGACCCTGTCACTAATTGCTCTTCTTCCTGGTAGCAAGTAGAAGAAGCAATTTTCAAATTCTTTTTATTGATCATAGGGCTGTTTCTCCAGAATACTACTCTCTATAAAAAGAGGGATATAATTATTTCCAGTTAACATTGTCAAAACACTTTTATAGAGGAAGGCAGTTTATACAGTGGTTAGAAGTACACAATTTGGAGTCAACAGCCCTGATGGTGAATTCTTGGCTCTATCCTTTACTAAATAGTGCAAGTCACTTAAATTCTCTGAACCTCAGTTTTTCTCTCTGCAAAATGGAAATAATATTACTTCATGGAGCTGATACAAGGATTAAGTTAGTAGAGATTACTGAAGACTGAGTAAATAGCCTCAGAAGGTTCTGTTTTTATTATTATTGCTAAGTATTATCAAGAAAGTCATCTCCCTGTCTTTCTTAAGGCCAACCTGATATATTTTAGTCTATTTCTTGCAATTCTCTTTTCTCCATACAAGTTCTCATTCTTCAAAAGTAAGGCATGATCTTGGTTTCATGAATAATTTGACTCTCACCATTCACAATTATATGATAAAATTAAGGCTAAAAGAAATTGCATTCAAGAGTTCAGTTCAGTTCAGTCGCTCAGTCATGTCTGACTTTTTGTGCCTCATGAACTGCAGCATGCCAGGCCTCCCTGTCCTTCACCAACTCCCAGAGTCCACCCAAATCCATGTCCATTGAGTCGGTGATGCCATCCAACCATCTCATCCTCTGTCATCCTCTTCTCCTCCTGCCCTCAATCTTTCCCAGCATCAGGGTCTTTTCAAATGAGTCAGCTCTCCACATCAGATGGCCAAATTATTGGAGTTTCAGCTTCAACATCAGTCCCTGCAATGAACCACCCAGGACTGATCTCCTTTAGGATGGGCTGGTTGGATCTCCTTGCAGTCCAAGGGACTCTCAAGAGTCTTCTCCAACGCCACAGTTCAAAAGCATCAATTCTTCTGCATTCAGCTTTCTTTATAGTCCAACTCTCACATCCATACATGACTACTGGAAAAACCATAGCCTTGACTAGACGGACATTTGTTGGCAAAGTAATGTCTCAGCTTTTTAATGTGCTGTCTAGGTTGGTCATAACTTTCCTTCCAAGGAGCAAGTGTCTTTTAATTTCATGGCTGCAATCACTATCTGCAGTGATTTTGGAGCCCCCCAAAATAAAGTCAGCTACTGTTTCCACTGTTTCCCCATCTATTTGCCATGAACTGATGGGACTGGATGCCATGATCTTAGTTTTCTGAATGTTGAGCTTGAAGCCAACTTTTTCACTCTCCTCTTTCACTTTCACCAAGAGGTTCTTTAGTTCTTCTTCACTTTCTGCCATAAGGGTGGTGTCATCTGCATATCTGTTTTCCCAGAAATCTTGATTCTAGCTTGTGCTTATTCCAGCCCATCTTTTCTCATGATGTACTCTGCATGTAAGTTAAATAAGCAGGGTGACAATATGCAGCCTTGGCGTACTCCTTTTCCTATTTGGAACCAGTCTGTTGTTCAAGAGGGAGGGGACATATTTTTACCTATAGCTGATTCATGTTGATGTATGGCAGAGACCAACACAATATTGTAAAGCAATTATCCTCCAATTAAAAATAAAAATAAAAGAAATTGCAGTTGACTTCCAGTTTTCATCTAGCCTTCTTCAATAAGATGACTATTTTCATTGCAGAATGATGAAGTGGAGTTTGTCCGAACTGGTTATGGTAAGGATATGGTAAAAGTTCTTCATATTCAGCGAGATGGAAAATATCATAGCATTAAGGAAGTGGCAACTTCAGTGCAACTTACTCTGAGCTCCAAAAGAGAGTACCTGCATGGAGACAATTCAGACATCATCCCGACAGACACCATCAAGAACACAGTTCACGTCCTGGCCAAGTTCAAAGGTGTATGTGTCATTCTTCTTCTTAGATGCTGCCTATCTGGATGGGGAATTCACTGTACTATAGTGTGAGGATAGTACTTGCTTATTTCAAGTTCCCTATGTGTTTTCAGTTTATTTTTACATTTAAACCATTGAAAGAAGATTCCTTTTCTATTCTAAAATTCTCAGCTTTACAGAAAATTTTGCATTTTAAAAACTTACCACTTTATGTGCTTTTCTTTTTTTGTTCCCTCTTTGTTCTGTTTCCTTGGTTTTCAACTCCGTACATCTTTGAGAAGGTAGAGAATCCTATTTGACAAATTCACATGTTATCACTTATCTAGGATCATTGGCAAATCGAGGCCCTGAGACAATTTCAGATTAGAATTTTACCCACTATTGCCATGCATTTACTTGAGTCCTATTGTTTGGTTGTTTTTTTTCTTTAAGAATGGTATGTATTTATAGAAGAAAGTACCATTTCTCTTCTTGGTATTACTAAAGAAGAAAATTCAGTATAAGATACAGTTTGAAATATATTTGTCCAACTTTTAATGCCTTCCTAATTTTCTCAACTCTATGACCACTTAATGTCCACATTTGATGGTAACTGTACTTTTCAAAAGGGTCTTGGAACTAATAGAATCTGATTTTTTTTTTAGCACTTTACCTCAGATTTCTCTAAAAAGTGTGAGTGAAATTGTGCTGGGTGACCACCAGATTTCTGGGCAATTCAGGATGATTTTTAATTTACTAAGACATTTAAAAAGACAAGAAATGAAGACTAGAAAGTTTCTTTTTCTACGACTTTGCATGAAATCCACACATATAATGCATGAAATGAACAAACTAATTGAAAAATTATTTCTGCAAGGCCTGTCTCCACTCTGAACCTTTCTCTTGCTAATCAAAATGGCCCAGCAAGCATAGACAGGGCTCTGGAAAAAGGCATTGCTTTCTTTAAAAAAAATTGAAAATAAGCTTCTAGTACTATGTTTAAGAAGATGGTTGGGTACCACAAATTTTTATACTTCCTGTACTATGTGAGAGATACAAAAAGTGAAGGGGTGGACCTGGATGTTAGAAAAAAATTTTAATTCATTCATTATAGCGACCATAATTTCTTATCCAAACCAAGATACTTTTGAGAATGCAATAGGATGCTTATAAACCTCAGATATGAAACAACTAACCTGGAAACCTGTATAGTCTACCTTAATTATAGGCAAAACCATAAATAATCTGTAGACTGAACTAGTGCCATAAAATAGAGATTAATATGAAGAATTTGGGTGGAAGTAGGGAGCTGCTTTATGGGGGTGGAGAGTTGGAGATGGTCTATAGAAGGCATGTTTGCAAGGAAAGAAAGCTGAAGTGACCCTTCCTTAACATTTTTCCTGGGGAAACTGGGAGGTCTGTTTGCCAACCTCATAAAGAGAGCAGAGTGTTTTGGAGTATCCTGCAATACTTTTGCTGGCATGGGTGATGACTGAGCTCATCTTGAGGAGAATCTGAATATTCAATTCCTTTTTGCTCATCCACTGATGGACAGACACACCCTCTCCGGCACACAGTTTTCTTTTAAAAACCGGGTAGTCTCACCTGGTGATGGTGATCCGTTAACTACACTTAGGGGCACATGTGAAAAATTGGGATAAAAAAGATAAATTCATCTCTAAGATTCTTTCTAAGTCTTTGTTTCTCTGATTCTAAAAAACACTTGATCAGGAAAGAGACTCCCATGGACATTTAAAAATGACTTTCAATTGGGGCAAGTATTTCTGCTCATTCACATTTGTTTCTCTTTATAGATCAAAAGCATAGAAACTTTTGCTATGAATATCTGTGAGCATTTCCTTTCATCTTTTAACCATGTCATTCGAGTTCAAGTCTACGTGGAAGAAGTCCCTTGGAAGCGTTTTGAAAAGGTTGCCTTACTTATTTGTGTTCTCAGTTTAATTAAAGACATTGGCTTTTTGACATATGCTGAAATTTTACTGAAAACAATCTTTTTTTCTAATTTTCAGAATGGAGTTAAGCATGTTCATGCATTTATTCATACTCCCACTGGAACGCACTTCTGTGAGGTTGAACAGTTGAGGAGTGGTGAGAAAATGTTTTTCGTGTTTGATTCTGCAATAACAATTTTAGTTTTTTTTTTTTTTTTCTTCTTCTAAATAACTCTGTTTATCAGCACCAAGGAGAACTGTAGAGAATTTTGAACTCTTTTAAATCTGAGATGGGAATGAAAGTTGTGACCTTGGATTACATTAAAGAACTATCTGCTTTTTATCTTAAATGTATAAAGATGAAATAATACCCTTTGCAACAAATCTGGTGGTTGAGTGGGGTCAATCATTTTTATTGCATGATCTTGAGGTGAGAGGAAAAAAAAGACTCAGGCTGACAAAAATCTCAAATCTCTGAAATTTCTGACCAATGCTTTTTATACCATACCAAACTATGATTATAATAACTTTATGGGAAATACCTAGAAAATAACAATCACGTTTCCTTATTTTGTCCTAATAATAAAACCATTGATATTATTATAATTACCATAGTATAAGCTTCATTTAAAATAGCAGTGACAGTTATATAGTTATTTCTGTTTAATAAGAAATCTAAACATTAACTGTGGAACATAATTACAATATAGACCTTATTGGTACTGATGACTAAACTTAGCAAAGTATGTCTTCTACTGATTTGTTGAGGTTGTCAGAACAGAGTTCAATAATTGGTTAAGAGCTGGATTAGATGACCTTTAAGAACTGTGGAGCCACCATGGTAGAAATGTCCCTATCCTAGTGAAAAATAAACTTTAGTGATCATTATAAATTGAAACTGAGGACTCTGAATTTTTTCTTTTCTCATCTTTCTTTTCTTTCATCTCCTCTCCTTCTCTTTCCCACTTGTTTCTTTCATTTCATTTCTTTTACTTTCTTTATCTTTCTTCCATCTCTAGCTATCTTCATTAAGAATTTAAGGTGGTATCTGGTAAACATCATAAATATCTTTTAAAAGGTTAGTAAAATATAAGTGCCTCTTATTCTGAGTTCTACTGGATACTGCCTTCCCTTAGAAAGTCCTAGTCATTTAATATTTTAATCATTTAATGTTTTCTCTATCTGTATTAAATTCTAGACACAGCCAGGGCCTTCTCAGTGTTTGACTAATAGTTGTGAAATTATTAGTATATAAAGAAGACTGAATAATTAGTTGATAAGTTGAGAAGATAGTGAGCTTTTAAATCCTCCAAATGTGAAGGGATTGGTTTGGGCCTTAATGTACTGTACTAGCAAGACTGGTGTAACTAGGGAATTCCTGGTGGTCAAGTGGTTAGGACACCACACTTTCACCATTGAGGGCCTTGGTTGGATCTCTGGTTCAGGAGCTAAGTTCCTGTAAACTGAGCAGCATGGCCAAAAAAACCAAAAATAACCCTAGTGCAATGAGGCAGTTTTTGCATGGCAGTTAAGTCTATAGTTCTTGCAGACTAAGATGTTTTGCTTCCCTTATTGCTTTCCTATTGTACTTTTTTAAATGTAAACCATTTTTTACATTATAGTTTAACTTACAATGTTGTTAGTTTCAGATGTACAGCAAAATGATTCAGTTATGCACACACACACACATATATATGTATATATATATTCTTTTTCAGCTTCTTTTCCATTAGAGATTATTTAAATGCTAGATATTGAATATAGTTCCTTGTGCTATATATTAGGTCCTTGTTTGTCTATTTTATATGTACTAATGTGTATATATTAATCCCCAATTCCAAGTTTATCTTTCTCCCACAGCTGCTATCCCCTTTGGTAACCATAAGGTCAGATTTATGTCTGTGAATCTATTTCTGCTTTATAAATAAATTCATTTGTATCTTTTTTTTAGATTACACTTGTAAGTGATATCATATATTTGTCTTTGATTTACTTCATTCAATATGATAATCTCTAGGTTCATCCATGTTGCTGCAGATGGCATTATTTCATTCTTTATTATGACTGAGTAATAAATATTCTTTATCCATTCATCTGCCTATGGACATTTAGGTTACCTCTATGTCTTGTTGTTATTTTTGTTGTTTGGTCGCTAAGTCATGTCCAACTCATTTGTGACTCCATGGACGATAGCCCACCAGGCTCCTCTGTCCACAGGATTTGTAGGTTGCTTTTTCCTTCTCAGGGGATCTTCCTGACCCAAAGAGTGAATCTGAATCTTCTGCACTGGCAGGAGGATTTTTTTTAACCACTGAGCCCCAGGGGAACCCTTCCATATCTTAGTTATTGTAAACAGTGCTTCTATAAATGTTGGAATGCCTGTATCTTTTCAAATTAGAATTTTCTTTGGATATATGCCCAGGGGTGGGATAGCAGGATCATATGATTAATTCCTTTCTCTCCACAGTCTCTCTGGCATTTATTATTAGCAGACTTTTTAAGTAATGGTCATTCTGATCTGTGAGAGTGATACTTCATTGTAGTTTTGTATTTTTCTAAAATTAGCAATGTATGTATATGTGCATGCACAGTCATGTCCAACTCTGTGTAACCCCATGAACTGTAGCCTGCCAGGCTCCTCTGTCCATGGAATTCTCCAGGCAAAAATACTGGAATGGGTCGCCATTCCCTTCCCCAGGGGACCTTTGCAACCCAGGGATTGAAACCGGGTCTCCTGCATTGTAGGCAGATTCTTTACTGTCTGAGCCACTAGAGAAGTCCCAAATTAGCAATACTGTACATCTTTTCATGTGCCTGCTGGCCGTCTGTATGTCTTTTTCTGAGAATTGTATCTTAGGTCTTCTGACCATTTTCTGATTGTGTTATTTGCTTTTTGATATTAAGCTGTATGAGTTATTTATATATTTTGGGGATTAATCCTTTGATATCTCCCAGTCTGTAGGTTGTCTATTCATTTTGTTTATGGGCTTATTTGCTGTGCAAACGTTTTTAAGTTTAATTTGGCCCTATTTGTTTATTTTTCTATTTGCATTACTCTAGGAGATGAATAAAAAAAAATTCCTGCAATTTATTTCAAACAGTGCAAATTCTTGTCTCTTTTCACAGTCTTTATTTTAAAGTCTATTTTGTCCAATATAAGTATGGCTACTGCAGCTTTCTCTTTTAAAATTTTTATTTATTTATTGGCTGTGCTGGGTCTCCATCACTGTGCACAGGCTTTCTCTAGTGGTGGTGAGTGGGGGCCACACTTCCAGTGTGTGAGTTCATTTAGTGTGTGTAGTGAGTGCGTTCTCATTGTGATAGTTTCTCTTGTTTAAGGGCACGGGCTTTAGGTACATGTGCTTCAGTGGTTGTGGCAGCCTGCCTGTACAGCCCTGGCTTGGCAGCTCTGCGTGGGCTTAGTTTCCCGCTAAGGCATGTGGGATCTTCCCAGACCAGGGCTAGAACCCATATCCCCTATGCTGGCAGAGGGGTTCTTAACCACTGCACCACCAAGGAATTCCCTCCAGCTTTCTTTTGATTTCCATTTTCATGAAATACCTTTTCCTAATCCCCTCTCTTTCAGTCTATGTATATTTCTAGATCTGAAGTGAGTCTTTTGTAGGTAGCACATATATGGAAGCTGTTTCTTTACCCATTCAGCCAGTCTATATCTTTTGGTTGGATCATTTAGTCCATTTATGTTTAAGGCAATTATTGGTATATATGTTCCCACTGGTTTCCCAGGTGGCTCAGTGGGAAAGAATTTACCTGCCAAGCAAGAGATGTGGGTTTGATCTCTGGGTCAGGAAGATCCCCTGGGGAAGGAAATGGCAACCCACTCCAGTATTCTTGCCTGGAATATCCCATAGAAAGAGGAGCCTGGTGTCCATGGGGTTGCAAAGATTAAGACATGACTTAGCGACTAAACAAAAGCACCAGTAGCTTGTTCCTATTGTCATTTTATTAATTATTTTGGATTTGTTTTTTTAGGTGTTTTTTTCTCCTTCTTTTGTTCTCTTCTTTTGTGATTTGATGACTATCTTTAGTATTATGTTTGGATTTCTTTTGATTTTTCTGTGTGAATTTTTGTTTTGTGGTTACAATGAGGTTTTTGCACAGCAATCTATCTAGATAGATACTTTGCATTTGTACCCTCCTCCCCTCATGATTACTGTTTTTGATATTATTTTCTAATCTAAATATTTTGTGTGTCCTTTAACTTCTTATTGTGGATATGAATGAATTTATTACTTTTGTCTTTTATTCTCCCTATTAGATTTCCTACTTTCATTCTATGAAAACTGAAGTGTTTTTGAACTTGAGCTCCATTACTTAATGGGCTTCTCTGGTGGTTCAGATGATAAATCTGGCTGCAATGCAGGAGACCTGGTTTCAGTTCCTGGGTTGCGAAGATCCCCCGGAGGAGGGAATGGCAACCCACTCCAGTATTCTTGCTTGGGAAATCTCATGGACAAAGGAACCTAGCAGGCAGTCCTTAGGGTCACAGAAGTCAAACATGACTTAGTGACTAAACCACCACCACTTAATAACTTTGTGACTATTAGCACATTAAATACAATACTTTATACACTACTTTAGTGTTTTTTAATTTGTAAGATGAGGATAAAATGTCTACCTCAGCAATTATCCAGATAACTGAAAGAAATAAATGTTAATTTAAAGCATTTAGTATAGTCCCTAACATATAAGAAGCGCTCCTTGAAAGAAAGCTGTTATTATTTTGAATGATTATAGAGATCCAGGGAAGGTCTTTGTGCATATATGTGTACATTTGGGTAATTCTGACCAAGATTATGGTGAACTGGCTAGAGAAATAAGCCAGAGGGAAACATTTGGAGACTTGTTGCAGAGATGAAGTAATGATGTAGGCTGACCTCGGGCAGTAGAGGCAGAGATGGAGGGATTGCAGAAGCTAGGGAGGGACATTATGTGAGGCATTTTTGAAGTGTGCTTAATAGGTCTGTGTAGTTGCATAGGGATGTAAGGCTAGAGAAAAGGAGGGGTTAAGGTTACCCTAAAGTCAGGAGTCTGGCGGTGTTGACTAAGAATAATACGTGTAATGAGGAAGTTTTCAGAGGAAACTGGTGAGTTTTGAAATAAGGAAAAGATTTGGAGACTGATAGTTGGTGAAGC